TTTGCTCGCAATTGCAGATGCGAAATTATTTTATTAATTCGTTTGCTACCCTGAATTCTAATTTCCAGATTCTCCCTCCACACTCCCTAGTTTCTTGCTGGAATCATTCAGCTGACACTCACTTCCCAGCATAGTCCTGTTCCTTAATCCTTTCCCTGTCACCCCTTGTCAATTGTCGCACGGCACCCAAATCGTGTGTCCTTGGTTGCCTCTTATAGAAAGTAATGTTTCAGTCATATCAAAACCGTTCAAAACCGTTCCACTGTTCCTGCCCCTGCTGCCCACCAGGACCTTGCTCCAACCCCCCTTCTCCCGGTGCTGCTTGCGATTGCGGTCATCTCGGTTGTTGCATCTCTGCCCAAGTAAGTTGCTACAAGCAACATTGATAGACTCTGGAAGCAGCTTTTCTGAGTATTTTATCTGCCTTGTATCAGTCATATGTTTCTTATTCAGAAACATATGTAAGTGCCTCTGGTGCACCTGGAAATCAGCTGCTTGCGATTGCAGTCATTTGGCACCTTTAATTTCCTGCTCAAGCAAGTTTTGGTCCTTATCGGCGTGCACTCTCTTACGTGTGCTGAACTGCTTCAGGCTGCAGCAATTGGCTGCAGGAGTGGCAGCCTCTGGGAGTACGACACCTGGCTCAGCAGGTGGCGACAGCTCAGCAGCACCAGGTGCTGCTGGTGGGTGGGGGGGCTCCGGTGCAGATTCCCGTGGGAAGAACGAGGTCCGGAAGCCTAATGTACGCCGGCGAGCATAAGTTTCACATCAGAAATTATTATCCCCTGTTGGGCAGATGTGTTGAATCTGCTATATTTCGTGGTCATTTCCTTTTGAATCAGCTCGGTATGTACTTTTAGGAAAAGAATCAATAATTGAGTTCCCATAACAGCTTTGGTAGGCATGTTCTGTGGAGTAGGCACCAATGTAGAAACGTTACACTTGGTCCCAAGTTGGTGTAGCCCCTCGCTCTTTGTCACGTCCACATCATCACTTGCGACATTCTCCTCCACGCCACGTTGACAGGCATTCCGCCCTTTTGGATAGCGTGCACCCAATCCGCTTACAATGCAACCCTCGCCAATCCCCCGTTAATATCACATTTGCGTCCTTGTCAGCCCTTGGGATTTGTTTCATCACGAGCAATCACCGTTCTCAACCGTTTTCTACTCTTGCAAAGTGTTCCTGTGAGGCTTCAGAAATTGGTTTCGATTCCTAAATTAGCGTGAGGGGTTTAGACCCTGGTGACTGACATTCAGTCTTTGGAAAGTCCGAGTCGGGGAAAAAGTCGCCTGACGGGTTTCTCGGTCCGCGCGGTATTCGCGTACGACATCCGTCGCGCGTGAGTTATCATCTAAGCGAGGGCTCCTAATCTTTAGAATTACCTGCCTTGACCTCATTAGTGCTGACACATTCCGCCATGGCTACTATCCGCAGCGTTCTATCCGCTCAGGCAGGAGCACAGCAGATCAGCTTCTCGGCCACGTGTCAACGCAGAGCGCAGCGTCAGGCAGTCACACCAACGGCTAGTTTCCCCCGCAACCCCGCGATCCGCGCTTCCGCCGCTTCCCCCTCCACTTCCCCCTCCGCTTCCCCCTCCGCGTTCCTAGGCCAGCAGGACTCCCTCCGCTTGCGCAAGCCCTCCCCTTCCGCCGTCTCCCCCTCCGCGCCCCGCCGGCGCGTCTCCCCCGTGAGAGCCGCGGATGGCGACAGCGACGTCCCCGCGTTCAAGGGCTTTCCGCCGATGCAGACGCGGCCCGCGTGGTACTGGCGAATCGCAGCCGTTGTTCCGTACCTGCTGCCGCTCTGCGAGGCGTGGATCTACAGCGAAACGGCTCAGTCGCTCTTCCATTTCCTCTTCACATACGAACAGCTGTGCCAGCCGTTCCTGATGCTGCTGGGTCTCCTCCCCTCCTGGTTCATGTTGGCTTACTTCTTCGGAGCGTACCTTGGGGTTGTCAGGAACAATCGCTGGCCGCATTTCCTGCGGTTCCACGTGGTCACGGGGATGCTTCTGGAGATTATTCTCCAGGTTGTTGGGACGCTGAATGATTGGATTCCCAAGTCGATTTACTGGGGGAAGATCGGCGCGCACTTTTGGCTCGCTATTGCGGTCGCGTTTATCTTTATCGTGCTCGAGTGCATCTGGTGCGCGATTCGCGGGACTTATGCTGACGTGCCGTTTATCTCAGATGCGGCGTACATGCAGATCCCGTACGAGTAAAGAGGTAGGGTTACAGTTTCGGGACATGCCCGTTAGCGGTATATGTTGGATCTTACTAGGTTGAAGAACAATAATAATAATTTTGCTACAGTCACGCTATCAGCGTTGCCTCGTATACATTCCTTGCACAGTAAGTATCACCAGCGGATCCCGTATAGCCGTTCTATTAAGGGATGTGTGAAATGAATAATGGCGTTGCCCTTCACTTCCAGGTCCATTCCCTGCCCCAATCTCCTCCTTTCTCTCCCCCCCTCCCTCCCCCTTCCTCCTCCCTGCTATAAACTTCTGCCTCCCCCTCCGCTTCCCCCTCCACCCATCCGCTCTCTTTCTGAATATCCTTCCGTTCTCTTCTCCCTGTTATTGCTGGGTTTCCATCTTCTCCTAACCTCCCAGGCGCTTACCTACTCCCCTTCTCCCCCGCCCTCGTTCCTTTCCGATTCCTATATTCCTTGTCAGGGTTCTCGTCTCCCTTGCTGCTCTCTATAATACCTTTCTCACTCTTCCTCTCATTTCCTCTCATGACTTGTCCCTCCCCCCCTGCCCCACTTCCTCCCCTGTCATTCATTTCATGCTTTCCCTCACATTCGTGACTGACGGGTCTATCATCCCCACCTTTTTATTCTTCCCCATCGTTTGTGTTCCCCCTCTTTCTTGTAATGGTTCTTTGTTACGTTCCCACCCGTCTTCCCTGCCATTCGTGTCCCCTTGTGATGAAGTCTCTGTTACCGTTTGATGGTGTTGTAATGATGCGTATCTGGAAGTAAGAATGCGTATCTAAGGGCCCCTATGTGCCTCAACAGACACACTTCTTGCACATTTACAAAGCTCATGGCTTTTTTTCACCCTAGCAAATTCTTGTTAAGACACAATTGTTCTCAGAGCTAGTTGAAAGGCTATGCTCTTGAGAGTTACCGATATCTAGGTAGCCAAGTACTTATAACGAGCATGCGCAGACCACACTCGTTTTGATTCGATCATTCCTTCCGCGAAATCGTACTTTTGCGGGAATAGCCGGTACGGTACATCCGCCGCCAGCTGCTCATTTGCCAGCTGTTTTTGACAGCTTATTGGCTGACGCGAATGGGCACGCGAAATTTGTCGTTCTGTTTGCATTAATTTCGGGTTTATGAGCAACGACGAGACATCCGTTTCATTCCAGCCTTGAAAATCTGGTCGCAGAATTTCGTTCGCACTGTTCTTGGGGGAGGAAGTTTGGCATCATCAGTGGCACAGTGTGGTGTGGATATCCGCATGCCACGTCAGAAATTTTAGGCGTGAGCAAAACCACCACCATTCATGAACCATGAGCCGAAAATTACCACTGTGGCCTGCTCTTGGGAAAGTGGAAGTGGAAATGTGCTGTTTACCTACCACCTCCGTCGTACAGCTGCTGGTTACCTTGTTTCGTCGTCACAGCCCTACAGTTCTCTACTTTCTTCTTGTCGCAGATAAGCTCGCTCGTGTATTACGAAAGTTACAGAACTTTGACCTCAAGTTGGCCCCTGCCAGCTAAACTGTCGTTTTGCGCATTGTACTCTCTTCTCTTCCCTCGTTCCCCCTACCTCTCCGCGCCCCACATCTTCCACAAGACAGCTGTATGTTCGCCTCACTGAAACAAGGAATCGCACTGGCATGTCGGGTATTGTCCGACCCGAACTCCACCAAAATGTTATAGATTCCAAATAAACCGTCCTGCCACGCGAAGAAACGTATCGAACCGCCGTAATAATTCTCGAAAGCTCCCCCTTCCATCAAGAATTCGATGGAGCGTTTGATCACTATACCACCTGTTCAGAGCAGTCAGTTCCGCCAGCTTGTTTTCTCAACTCACGTCTGTCTTCTATCACTTCCTATTTTTGAACTGATTCTTGGTAGACAAAAGCCACGGTCTCTCGAGTCTTAGTCTAACTTGTGATCACATACCCCATCGGTCCGCCTCATAAAAATGACGTCACGTGATAAACAATGGGAAACCTTACAATTCGGCACGCCCGGCTCGTCCTCCTTCCGTATGATTTTTCTCCACGCGACCCACCGCCATATCCTCTCCCCTTGCCACGATATCCCGCTTTACGACCCTGATTGTCTCTTCCATTGCATCTCGGCCGCTCCCGCCGGGACATGGCTTCCGCACGATTTCGCTCCCGAAGATTACAACCCATTAAGATGCGCAACGTCCCTGGATTCCGCGACTTCAGGAATCTTCGACGCTTTAGGAGGGTCATCAGGAGGCGCTAGCGAGGGTACAATAGTCTCAGCGGCTGTTCCAAAACATTTCTCTACAAACTGCCCGTGGAGTCTCGGGCTGCTGCCCCAAACGCGACAGGACCCCGACGATACTTGCGATGAGTTACCAAATGTGCCTGGCGACGAGCGGCCGATAGAGGTTATCGAGATTAGCGGTAGTGAAATCGGTCTCGGCGAAGTAGTTTCGGTCAAGCCTCTCGCAGCTTTCGCCGTCGCGTCTCCGACGGGAAAGAGTTTCGCATGGAAGGTCGTTGCGATTTCGGGTAACTGCCCCGTCGCCAGCGTGCTGGAGTCGATGGAAGACGTCGAGGCGTCGTTTCCAGGGTCGCTTAACGACATTCGCGAATGGCTTCGCACGCGCGACGATCTCCAGTCGAACGGCCGGCACGCAGCAGGTGAGGCCGGTAGCTTTCGTCACGGCGTTACCGTCATATCCTCTTCTCCTCCGCTTCTTCCCCACCTCAACTTCCTCTTATCGGGGTTTGAGACGACTCGTAAACTCTTTAGATTCGCCGTTTCTTTGAGACTAATGGATGCTCTTACGGTGTTGCTTCCTCTTCTTCCCTGCTTCTCCCTCCTCTTGCGGTGTTCTGCCAACTGCATTGCCCCGCTCTCTCCAACTCTTCCCCCACTTCTCCTCTCTTCCTCCCCCCCCCGCCCCATCCCCCCTCCCCCATCCCTTTGTCTTCTCCATCCACCCTTCCTTTCTTCCCGCTCTTTCCATCTTCTCCCCCCACTTTCCCCCACCCGCTCCATTCCCGCCTCTGCCCCTTTCCACCTCACCCGTTATTCTCGAACCGCAGATCTTCCTTTCGTCAGCGAGCCCTTGGGTCCGGAGCGCGCGCACGCGGTGGTGGCGCGAGCGAACGCCACGTGGCAGCTCTTCGTCGATCAGAACGTCCCCGCAGAGCCCTGGGCGCCGCCGGCCGCGGTCCTCAACGGAAGCTTCCTCGAAAGCATCTGGAAGCGCAAATACATGGGCGACTGCGCGCCGTCCGCCGCGATTCCTGTTTCCCAGCCGGCGCATTTGCAGCAGCAGCAGCAAGCGGAGAATTCGGCGCAAAAAGCGGCAGCGGAAGCGGTCTCCGGCGCTCTGGTGGAGGAAAAGCCAGCCAACGGCAAGTGGGGCGGGAAGCTGCGAGGAATCTTTCGGACAAAAAGCGGCCGGCTTATGCCGTCGCGACTCGGCGGCGGCTCATCCGATAAATGCCCCATTCCCAAGGCCTCCACCAGCCATTGCAGTAACAGCAACAGCAGCAGCGGCGGCGGCGGCAGCGGCAGCGGCAGCGGCGGCGGCGGCGGAGGTGGCGGAGGCGGGGGAGGTGGCGGAGGCGGGGGAAGCAGCGCCGGCGCTGGGTTTGGCAGTGGCATGGGTAGCCTCAGATCTTCTGGTAGCAGCCCAGAATCAAATATTTTCCGGCAACAGATTCCGTCCAGTGGACACGTTTGGAACCACGCGGAATCTGGCGAGTCGAGGGAAGCCTTCGGGGACAGGTTGCGGCGCGCCACGTCGTTGGATCCCGGCCAATTGGAGCCCGGGAGTAGGAAGAGCAGTGGATTGGGCGGCGCAGTTTCGGGGCATGGCAAACCGCCGGTGCAGCACAGGCGGTGCGAGAGTTTCGAGCATTACGGTTCGTCGAAACCAAAAGGTCTACCAAAAGCGGGAGTTTGCGCGAATAGCCCCAGTCCGTGCAGGAAACCGCCGGGTTTATCCCCTTTAAGGCTGACTGCGGAACCTAATAGACACGGAATTTTGAAGCCGAGTTCCTCTAGCGAGTCACTGGAAAGCATCGGGAGTCATAAACGAAATGACTCGGGAAGCAGTTCGCACAGTCAGCAAATCATCGAAGAGGAGGAGGAAGAGGAGGAGCCTCCTACCCTATGGCGGAGGAGCAAATCGGAAACTGGAAACAGAAATAAGGATAAGGAAGACGGGGAAGTTACCCTTGTGAGATCGAACACAGCGGGCAGGAGAGTGAAATTCAAGGAGGAGGTTGACGTGGTTATGTTGGCTGACGAGGACGAAGGCGAGGAGAGAGGAGCAGCGGGAGGGGCAGATGATATTTTCCAGCTGAAGTTTACCCTAGCTTTGGCGCTTGACAATGAGGGGCAGGTCTTTCCGTCTCCTCGGAAAATAATGTTCACGAATGCGTGACTGCCTTGAGTCTGATTCGGATGTATTTGATGCTCTGGTGCATCAAACAGACACAAACTGACTGATGTGGAGCTTCTGGGATGTAAGGTCGCGGTGCTGCTACAGACACCCTGCTGCAGACTGTGCTGATACAGACACCCTGCTACAGACTGTACTGATACAGACACCCTGCTGCAGACTGTACTGATACAGACACCCTGCTCCAGACTGTCCTGCTACAGACACCCTGCTCCAGACTGTCCTGCTACAGACCATCCTGCTACAGGCCGTCCTGCAACAGACCGGCCTGCTACAGACTGTCCTGCTACATCCCGCTACATACCACCCTGTTCTGTCACATCATGTCACGTTTACTCTGCTTTGTGAAAGGTCAATTTTACAGCTCAACACGCCTTGTCATAATGAGTTGCATGGGAGCTGTTGCTGTGGTGTGGTGTGTGATGTGATGTACCTTTTGAGAGAAGGGTTGCCTGCCAAGCAGAGGGGAAAGGAGGTGTGTGAAAGAAGGGAATTGGGGAGAAGAGAGAAAGCAGAGAATGTGGAGGAAAGAAACTATGAGGATCGATGAGAGGGGATGGCAGCGGGAAAATGCAGTGAGGCTGAGATATGAGGGAGGCAGAAGGAAGATGGGTTGAAAAGCATACATAGAGATGATCGCTAAGATCCAAGTGGTTGCTGTACCATCTGACAAGAGGATTCTCTAGCACTTGTGATTAGGATTCCTAACTCTAGACTGGTGCTGTCATGCACCGTGTCTATTGGTTGCATCTATGGTATGTGTGTGTTTTATTGTTTTGTGTGAACTTTCAATCTTATTGCGTGCCTAATGGAAATGGCTTTTTAACCCCTTTCTTAAAAAAACAACAACTAGAATTGTTTAGGGCTATAACGTCATATTCTGTAGACCGATGTCAGGTTTCCAAGCAAGGGAGTCCGACTGTTCCTGGAATAAATGGGTCATCAGTCAAGTGGGGTATGCACAGTGCATGAAACTAGTGGCTCGATGTGGCTGACAGCTGGCAAACAGCTGTCCAAGAGAAACAAAACACAATGTCCCACAGTCGTAATGTTTGAAGTTTATTACCTGCGGTGAGACTGCGAAACATCGTGTATTTACATGTTCCTTTTTTAGTGAACACATAGGGAAAACGAAGACTACCACCAATTTAGACAGCATACAAGAGACCTAGCATCCTCATTTTTCTCTCAGAATTATTTAACTTCGTCATCGCCATCGGAGAATGTGTCCACGGGCATCTTCATGGGACGGAAATTCAGGATGCTGTTTCTGGTGAGCTTGCATCATTCATGAGTTGATATTTTCCTGACGTTTTTGGATACGAGGGATTCAGTTTCGTCTGAGGCATTGAATGAAGTGCAGATGCTACTGTGCTAAGAATTCTCCAAAGGTCTTGCGGTATTGCCCGCCGAAATAACATGTTCTAGTTCTCATTTGTAGCTCAACCGGGGGATACTTCCCATCCCATTTTCTTATTTCTGCAAATCCGTTATTCACAATGCGTAGCACCTCCATAAAATACATGTATTTTTTGTTTGGGGGGGAGCCCGATGAGGTCTCACAGGAATTCCTCGTTCTTGTCATTTTGTGTCTCCATGGGTTGGCAGGAAAGCCGCGTGCTGCTCTCGTGGATCTTGTAGGGATGTTTGAACATGGCCGCATTTGCACGTCAATTTCCACCACACCCCACTCGCTCCCCTCGCCGTTGTGCAAAACAAACTCGAATCGTGTGGTGGATTCTTCCGTCCATAAGCTGTCGGTGGCTGCTTGTCATGCCAGTTGTCTAGGTCAGGGCCTTATTGAAATGAGGCTTTGACAGGCAGTTTCACAGGAAGAAGTTTTTGCAGCCCAATGTTTGGCAGCTCCCTTGCCTGCCTGCCTGCCTTCCTGAAATATGTTTCTCTGCCTGCCTGTTGCTGGATTTCCTCGCATGGATCTGGTCAAGTTTGCTTTCAACCTCTGCCCTCGAAATTTCTTCCTTCGTTACGACTTCCTGTGGAACCGCTGAAGCTGCCAATGAGAGGCTCTTGGCAGTGTGACACGCTGGACGAAGGGCAAGCGCTCTCATCATCTCAACGCGGCCTTCCGTATCGTTTCCGCTAATTCCCCTCCCCCAACCCAACTTCCCCCGTTCCCTCTTATTCCCCCCCACCCCCACCCACACCACCAACACAGCTGGTGGATTTGAATGTGGGCGGATAAAATGGCGGATGATCCAGCGCCAACACACCACAGCCCGCAAGCAAAACACGGGACGCGGGGGAATCAATAACTGGGACAGAAAGACGATCGACTCGGCTGCTGTGCTGTTGTTTACACGCGCGAAGCAACTGCCCTGCTTGTTGGCAGCAACAAGTCTCCTCTCGTCTCGTCTCGTTTCGTCCAACAGCTGCACTTCGCAGGGAGAAATTCGACCACACATACGGAAGAAAACTCCCATCCACAGACAGGGTTGAAGCAGCAAAAAGAAACTCCTTCGGGGGTTGGGTTGACTGTGGGGAGGACTGCATTCCTTGCAACCCCAACAGAATCCAGACAAGCTGGCAGCGGTCGTACAGAGCTGCAATCTCAAGGCAACCGACTTGCACGGATCACGTGGGCATAACCACCTTACGCCACCTCACCTTTCGGCTCTAGGCGTCGCCTAAAGTATTCAATTTTCATGTGCTCATGATTGGTTGAACATTCCCACGAAGCTCCGTCGGACAACTAGCGCGAAGGATACTCTAACGCGCTGTCGGAAACCTGAGCCTCTTCATTCGACAATTTCTGGCTCATTCGCTGTTGAAGCCGCTGAGAACTTGGCGCGACTCGTCTCCACCACCTGAGCGCAAATGTCTCCGCTCGTTCCGTCTTATCACCACGTCTCGCAACATCCGTTCCGGAATGCGCTCGATCCCATGGGCTGGCCGAACAAGCGATTAAGGACCTCCTACGCAAACAGCGCCGCGGCAGCAGAGCCCTCGCGCCGCAGCTGGGTGGCTATCCCGAGCTTGCGCCACGCGGAAGCCGCGAGCAGAGGGCAACGCGCTGCGCCTGAGATTGATGACTGCGCGACTGCACATCCGGGGAAGGGAGGCGCGGACGCGCCGCAACTTCCTTCCGCCTCTTGCCACATCGATCGTCTTCCTGTAGGTTTCCCCACGCCGCGACCCCGCGCTTCGTCCGCTTTCCTTTTCCCAGCACACCTTTTCCCCTCCCTCGTTCTCCCGTCCCCCAATCTCCCATCGTTGTCTTCTTACGCGCACTTAAAATCGATTCCCTTCACGCTTCCCCTTTCCGTTCGCTTTACCCTCATTCCTCCCGTCCGACGCCTCCCCCCTCCCCCTCCCTCCCGCTTTCCCCTCCACGTCCCGTTCCCCATCCCTGCGTTTACCTGTCGGTATTTTCCATCCCGGCTCCCTTCTTTTCCTCCCATCTCCCCTCCTTTTCCCCCTTGTCCGCCTGAGCTCGTCGCAAACCCTTGCTGTTTCCATCCCTGTAGAACGAGCTCGTTCCGACCTCCCATTGACAATCCCCCCCTCCTTCCCCCTTTTCCCTCCCCCCCGCCTTGCCCCCCTCCCCCACCCCCCCCCACCCCCCACCCTCCCCCTCCCCCTTCCCCCGTGTCGCCCGCAGAACGAGCTCGTCGCGACTATCTTGCGCGACGTCTTCAAGAAGGCGCAATCGCTCTCCGACATCGCCAGCCTGTTGCTAACGTGAGAGCTAGTTGTAGTTTACGTTATTTCCTACGCCAGCTCCGACCCTCATTTGAGACTTCGCGACGCGTTCCGACCCTACGCCATCTCTGCGCTGTATTTTTGCTGTATTGCTGTTTTTGGCTGTATTTTTCCTTGCTTTTCTAAATTCCTAAATCTGCTCTCTGCTCCTGGGCCCTCTTTTCCTGATTGTCGCTACAGATGCCGGCGCTTTTACGACATCTGTCGGCCCGCGTCGCACTGGTCGCTGCTGGCGTCCGCATCCGTCGAATCGCTGCTGCCGACGGACGCGGCGCAGTGGACTCCCGCAGTCCAGCGATTCCTGTTGAGCGCCGCGACAGAGGGCAACATCGAGGCAATTTATATCGCGGGCATGGTGCGTGCGTGACGGGACAACTCCTTTTGAATAGGCCCGACTAAGTGTGAATTGTCCAAACGCTAGACCTAATCATTTAAATCTGGATTTGGGATTTTGCGTAATTTCGATTGCGCCCTAATTTTGCCCTTCCTTTACGCTTTACCCCCTGACCCTGGTCCTCGCGAAATCTCAACCGCAGATTTCCTTCTACTGTATCGGAAATCACTGGGCGGGCGCGCGCTTGCTTGCGCAAGCGGCGGAGTGCGGACACGGCCCCGCGACCTATTCCCTCGCTATAATCAACTTTCACGGGAGTGGCGGAACCGCGCGGGACACGAATCCGCAGGCGGGTGTGGATCTGTGCTGGCGGGCGGCGAAGTCGGGATTCATGCCCGCGTTACAAGAGCTCGGACACTGCTTCGTGGTACGCAGTTGAATTCATCTCTTACTTGTCGTTCGTGCTTGGGTTGTTTCACCCATCTACAGTTCCGTGTTATTTCGAAAGCTACATCCAAGTTCTAATTGTACCCCTTATATTTTGTTTCATATTTTTCCACTTCAGGACGGCTATGGTGTTTCTCAACGCATTTCTCTGGGAAAGCTTTTGCTGCAGCATGCATCAGCAGCCATGGAAGGCAGCACAAGCAGCTGCCGCTGCGGCAACTGCCCACACTCGCCCTCCTCTCCTTCTCGTAGCCCTTTCTCCTTCCCGTGTGCCACTCCCTCTCCACCTCACTCACCTGCCGCCCCATCGATACCATCAGCTACAGTACCTGCCGCCCCAGCAGCACCGGCTGTAGCGCAAAGTACATCACCAACTGTACCACAAACTGCAGCAGCCGGGACACAGGCAGCACGAGCGACAGTAGCACAAGGGGCAGCAGCACCAGCAGCAACGGATGCTCAAAAGTCCGGCAAGAAAGCTTTGCAGGCGTGGCGCAGCAGAAGATTCGGGCGGTCTTTTTCGTGGCCTCCCAGTGGGGGTAAGCCCGCCAAAGTGGTGTCCCGGCAAAGTGGGGCTCCTATAAGTGCCGGAGCTGAAGCTGCTGCTCGGTGGAATGCTTACCTAAGTGCCGGGATGGAGGAAGAGGGGATTGAGACGGTGCAGAGAGGGGCTGGATTGGATAGTGTTACGAGACCACTACAACAGCGGGATTCAACTGAAACGAGTGCGCAGCAGCAGGATGAGCCGCTGCCACTGCCACCCCAACAACAGCAGCGGCAGCAGCAATCGAGACACGGAAATCTGAATCTTGATTTGAACCGAGCAGTAGAGCCTGCAGAAGATGGAAGGGAAGGCACCGCGTCTGCTTTGAGGGAATTGAATCATCCTTGCTTGAACCTGCTGGTTGCTCCTCCCAGGGATACTCTTTATGAACTGTTTGGAGGGGAGAGGCCCGCTGGGTGGAATGTAGAGGAGGATGAGGAGGATGGAGAGGATGAGGAGGATGAGGAGGACGAGGAGGGGGAGGATGAGGAGAGTGGGGAAGAGGAGGAACGTGAGGGTCCAGAGGAGGATGGGAAGAAGAGCAGCGCACAGGAAGGCCTGTCCCAAGACCATACAGATCTGACCCTTTCTCACCATCACCACCATCACCACCGCCCCGAACAAGGCTCTCAGCCTCACAATGAGAGGGCATCCCTCAATGGCAGTAGCGCCCACCTCACCCAGATCTTGCTCTCCTCCCTCCTCACTTACACGCACAACCACACTCACTGTCCCCTCTCTCTCCAGCTCGCGTTTCCCCGCCCCTCGCCGCCCCATCGCATCCACTCGTTTCTTGCCACCTGGCATGCCATCCGCCCGCTCCCCGCGGGCCGCCGTTGTTGCGGCAGCCCAGCCTGTAGCAGGCCTGAGACGAGGTTTGGGGAGTTCCGAACCTGTGTGAGGTGTGGCCGAGCCAAGTACTGCAGTAGAAGCTGCCAGGTGGCGGATTGGAAGTTTCGACATTCTTTTATTTGCTGCCCTGAATAAAGGGATACGGCTCCAGTAGCTTACATACGAACTCATCTGTGCGCCAACTATGGTGCCACAGAGGTTACTTGTCATTGCACTAATGTCAAATTATATATGTTCATTCTGTTGGGCTGAGAAAAAGCCCCTTAGGATCTTTGCAGGGATGAACTCTGGGTAGGATTGTAATAGCGGAAGCGTTTAGTGAAGAGATTGTGAACCACCTTGCGCTAGTATGTGAGGGCAAAGTCGATTGACTAAAGCAAAGAGATACAAGATTATATAAGAGTACAAGGAATACGAAGAGACACGGTTGTAACTACTTTACTGTTGCTGTTGCGGTTCGATACAGTGACGACTCGGGCAACTGCTCTGTAGCGAGTCAGTTGTGTGTCCTTGCTGTCGCGCTGTACTTGTCAGGTCAAAGGTCGCTGACCTTTGACTTTCGCGTAACCTCCAGCGGTTACTTCAACCTCCGAGGGTTGACTCGCTGGTGCCTCGATATGCTTTGCTTCGCTTGTGTCTTGGTGTTTCGACACGACAGAGGCGCTTAGGACTGATTGTTTCCAACACTCCCCTTCGCTTCTGGAGTGTCGCTGCTGGTGACGTGGCTCTGTCCAGTCAGCAGCATGCAGTACTCAAACTTCTGCTTCCCGAGCTTCTTGGTCAAGTAGTCAGCTGCCATCTCGGTCGTGGGGCAGTATGACAGCTCGAGTCTCCCCTTCTCGATCTCGTCCTTCACGAAGAAGTATCGCAGGGCGATGTGTTTCGTCCTGTTCGCGAAGCCGTTCTTGTTGGCAATGCGAATTGCCGACTGGTTGTCGCAGAACAGAGTGAAGCTGGGTAACTGAGCCAGCTTCGCTTCTTCCAGCAGTTCGCGAAGGTAAAGTCCTTCCTTGGTGGCTGAGCAGAGTGCAATATATTCTGCTTCAGCTGACGAGAGGGCGATTAGTTCCTGCTTGCTCGACTGCCAAGAGATAGGTCCGATAGGTTCGAGGCGGTAGATGTAGCCAGTGCGAGAACGCCTGTTGTCGGAATCGCCAGCGTGATCGGCGTCGACGTAGCCGATTAACTTAGGTGTTGTAGTCCCGTTCTTGTGATAAGTCAGGCCGATCGTCGGAGTGCTGACGAGGTAGTGAAGAGCGCGGTCGAGCTCCGCCATGTGATCCGCTTCAGGTTTCTTGAGGTAGGTAGCGAGCTGACTTGCAGAGTACGACAGATCCGGACGGCAGGTGACGGCTGCGAAGAGAAGGCAGCCCAGCTTTCTCTGGTAGTCGCGTATGCCGGCGGGCTTGAGCAGAGCGGAGCCTTCTTTGTTGTTTCCTGTCGTGTAGCGGTACGGTGTGGAGATAGCAGTTGGTGTGAGTGTGAAGCGCTTGGCGATGGTGTCGGCGTATTTCGCGGCGCTGAGGTAGATGGCATCTTCTTCTTCCCGGATGTTGAGCCCGAGGTACTGTGTAACGGTAGTTGAGACTGTCAGTGTGAGATCCTGCTGCAGCTCCCCTTCGAACCAGGTGGTGACGCTGTCAGTTGAGCCGATGTAGAGGAGATCGTCTACGTAGACGATTAGCAGGATGTAATCTGCGCCTTTCGTGAGTCGGTACATCCCCTGATCGTGCGGTGATTGCTTGAAGCTGATGCGAATGAGGCGGGCGTGCAGGTACTGCTGCCATAGCCGCGGAGCTTGCTTGATCCTGTAGAGCGACTTTAGTAGCTGGCAGACTTGGTTGGGCTCCCCGTTGGTACCATGCGGTAGTTCCACGAAAATTTCTGCGTCAACAGGTGCGTAGAGAAATGCGTTCGTGACATCGATTTGCCGTAGCTTCTTTTTCTTCATGGCGGCGATCGCGAGAAGGATTCGGAGCGAAGTGTGTCGGCTGACCGGAGCGGAAGTTTCGGTGAAGTCTCGCCCGTGTTCTTGGTCGAAGCCGCGCACGACCCAGCGTGCCTTGAATTTGTCAATGGTGCCGTCGGCCTTCGTCTTCACGCGGAAGACCCATTTCCCGGTGAGTATTATCTTGTTTTGTGCGACGCCGATGGGAACAACTTTCCAGGTGTTCCGTTCTTCCAGTGCTTTCAGCTCCTTGTCCATGGCTTTGTGAAGATAAGCAGTAGAAGAAGGCGCCATAGCTAGGTAAGTCCTAGCTAGGCAAGAGAAGTTTAGGCAAAAGAGGAGGTTGCACTAGCAAGAATGAGGATACAAATAGCAAACCCTAGAAGGGTTGTACTCGCTATAGAGCACCCCACTACAGGCTAGAGCATAATATTCTGACACACCCCCATAGCCAAAGTGGGGTGTAATCAGCAGAGCAAGCAAAGCAGTACAAGCTTTGGGTGGATCACAATGTCACCACACATTCTGAGCACAAGTTCAAGAAGCAATAGTTTAAAGTTCACAATTATGAGCAAAGCTAGAGGCTATCGCAGAGGGCAAGTGAGGAGGAGGAGAGACTGTGGGGGAGAGAAGATGGGAGGCGACTGCTGACGCTGCAGACACACAGACGAGCTGCTGGCTCAGTGGCTACCGGAACAACGCTCCGGACTACTGGGGTAACTGGCCCCGCGGCTAAAAGCAGCGGCAGACGAGCAACGGACCCACGGGCGACTGGCGACTACCGGAGATTGTAGCCTCCGGACTGCTGCTGCTGCTGACGACAAGACTGCTGCCTCCACTCGACCTCCCCCAAACAGTACCACCCCTCCTGACACACACCCGCTGCTACACCGCTAGCTCCACTCCCCCTTCACCCCCCCTTAGCACCACTCCAACGGCTCCAACAAGTCCACCCCCCCTCAGCGGCAGCTGCAGCACAGGGAGACGGAGGAGGAGGAGGAGCAGGGAACGGCACACAGTAGTTTCACCCCCATACCCCTCACCCCCAAACCCTAATTCAGGAGAACGGGCTGTAGGAGGGGTGGGGCGCCAGCAGAAGCACGGGGGACAGCGGGGAGGGCAGGGGCAGCGAGGAAAGGGCCGCCCACGGGCCTGGCACAGCCTCCCGAACCGCGCGCAGGCGGCCCGAGCCGCGCGCGGGCCTGGCGCAGCCCGTACGGGCCGCGCGCGGGCCTGGCGCAG